CAAATACATGCAGGTTAACAATATGCTACCAAAAAATGAACGTGTTAACCAGGAAATCAAAGAACACAAAAACAAACAAACATAGAAACAAATGAATATTAAAACATAATGGTCCAAAACCTTTGGAATGCAGCAAAAGCAATCCTAAGAGGGAAGTATACAGCAATACAAGCCTACCTCAAGAAACAAGAAAAATCTGAAACCACCTAACTTTACAACTGAAGGAGCAAGAAAAACAAAGCCTAAAGCCAGAAGAAGGAGGAAAATAATAAAGATTAGAGCAGAAATTATTGATATAGAAAATAAAAAAATATAACAGATCAATGAATCCAGGTGCTGTGTCTTTGAAAAAAATAGTAAAATTGATAAAACCCTAGCCAGACTTATCAAAAAGGAAAGAGAAAGGACCCAAATAAAATCACAAATGAGAGAGGATAACAACCAACATCCCAGAATTACAAACAATTATAATAGTATGAAAATTATATCCCAACAAATTGGACAATCTGGAAGAAATGGGTAAATTCCTAGAAACAAACAACCAAAACTGAAGCAAGAAGAAATAGAAAACTGGAACCAGCAAAGAAATTGAATCAGTAATCAAAAATCTTCCAACAAACAAAAGTCCATGGCCAGATGGCTTCCCTGGGGAATTCTACCAAACAATGAAAAAGAAAAAAAAAAAAAAAAAAAAAACAAATGTAGGAAGACTTCCAAACTCATTCTATGAGGCCAGCATTATCCTCCTTCCAAAACCAGAGACTCCACTAAGAAAGAACTACAGGCTAATATCACTAATGAACATAGATGAAAAAATTGTCAAAATACTAGCAAATCAAATCCAACAGTACATTAAAAGGATCATGCACCACAAGCAAGTGGGACTTATTCCTGGGTTACAACAGTGGTTCAATATTCAAAAGTCAGTCAATGTGATCCACCACATTAATAAAAGGCTAAGAACCATATGATCCTCTCAGATGTACAAAAAGCATTTGACAATGTACAACATTCATTCATGATAAAAACCCTCAACAAAGGAGGGTTAGAGGGAACATACCTCAATATCATAAAGACCATATATGAAAAACCCACAGGTACTATCACTTCACTGGGGAAAAACAGCTTTTCCTCTATGGTCAGGAACAAGACAGGAATGTCTACTCTCACTACAGTTATTTAACATAATTCCAGAAGTCCTAGCCTCAGAAATCAGACAACAAAAAGAAATAAAAGGCATCCAAACCAACAAGGAAGAAGTCAAATTTTCACTCTTTGCAGATGACATGATACTCTGTATGGAAAACCCAAAAGACTCCACCAAAAAACTGCTAGACCTGATACACAAATTCATTATAGTTACACAAAAATCCATGTACAAAAATCTATTGCATTTCTATACATCAATAATGAAGTAGCAGAAAGAGAAACCAAGGAACCGATCCCATTTACAATTACACCAAAAACTGTAAGATACGTAGGAATAAAGCTAACCAAAATAAAAAAGATCTGTACTCTTAAACTATAAAACACTGATGAAAGCAAGTCAAGAAATGGAAAGATATTCCATGCTCATGGACTGGGAAAAACAAACATTGTTAAAATGTCCACATTACCCAAAGCAATCTATACCTTTAATGCAATCCCTATCATAGTATCACCAGCATTTTTCAGAGCTAGAAGCAACAGTCTTAAAATTTGTATGGAACCACAAAAGATCCCCAATAGTCAAAGCAATCTTGAAAAAGAAAAGCAAAGGTAGAGGCATCACAATTCCAGACTTCAAGTTGTATTACAAAGCTGTAGTGATTGAGACAGTATGGTACTGGCACAGAAACAGACACATAGATCAATGCAACATAACAGAAAACTCAGAAGTGAACTTGCAACTATATGAGCAATTAATCTTCAACAAAGCAGGAAAGAATATCCAATGGAAAAAAAAGATAGTCTCTTAAATAGTGTCAGGAAAGCTGGACAGCAAGATGCTAAAGGTTGAAACTGCACCACTTTCTTACACCATACACTAAAACATATTCAAAATGAATGAAAGACCTAAATGTGAGATAGGAAACCATCAAAATCCCAGAGAACACAGGCAGTAACCTCTCTGACCTGAACCACAGCAATTTCTTACTAGATAGGTCTCCTGAGGCAAGAAAAATAAAAGCAAAAGTAAGCCATTGGGACTTCAAAATAAAAATCTTCTGCACTGCAAAGGAAACAATCAACAAAACTAAAAGTCAAACTACGGAATGGGAGATGGTATCTGCAAATGACATATCTGATTAAGGGTCAGTATCCAAGATCTATTAAGAACTTATCAAACTCAACATGCAAAAAAAAAAAAAAAATTCAGTTTAAAAATGGGCAAAAGACATCAGTAGACATTGCTGCAAAGAAGACATATGTCTAACAGACACATGAGAAGATGCTCAACATCACTCATCATCAGGGAAATGCAAATCAAAACTACCATGAGACATCACCTCACACCTGTCAGAATGGCTAAAATTAACAACACAGCAAACAACAGGTGTTAGCGAAGATGCAGAGAAAGGGGGGAGCCCTCTTACCCTGATGGTAGGAATGCAAACTGGTGCAGCCGCTCTGGAAAAGAGTATGGAGTCTCCTCAAATGTTAATAGAAGTACCCTATGATCCAGCATTTGTACTGGTATTTGTCCAAATATTTACCCAAAGAATAAAAAAATACTAACTCAGAGGGATACATGCGCCCTGTTTATAGCAGCATTATTCACAATAGCCAAATCATGCCAAGAGCCCAAATGTCCAACTGATGGATAAAGAAGACTTAGTATATATACACAATGGAATATTACCCATTAAAAAGAATGAAATCTTGCCATTTGCAAAGACATGGATGGAGCTAGAGAGTATTATGCTAAGTAAAATAAGTCCGTCAGAGAAACACAAATACCATGATTTTACTCATAGGTGGAATTTAAGAAACAAATGAACATAGTGGGGACAAAAAGAGGCAAACCAAGAAACAGACTCGTAACTATGGAGAACAAACTGAGGGTTATGGGAGGGGAGTTGGAGGGGGTTGTTAAACAGGAGATGGGTGTTAAGGAGGGCACTTGCTGTGATGAACACCGGGTATTCTATGTAAGTGATGAATCACTAAATTCTACACCTACAACTAACAATGCACTGTGTTAACTAGCTGGAATTTTAATAAAAACTTGGGAAAAAATTAAATAACGATCTTATAGCAAAACCTTCAAAACAATTCCATGATTAAGAATTCCTCATCTGAACCACAGAACACAGATAATTATCATGTTACTATTTTCTGAATTCTCCCAAGAATGCAGTACAAGACTGTTTAATTCATTACATACGGTGAATGCCTTAGGGTGGTGGTTCCCAAACTGCAGTGTGCATTAGGATCACATGGCAGAGATGTTGAGACACAAATTGCTGGGGCCCATTTCCACAGTCTCTAATTAAGTAAGTCTGAGGTGGAGCCCCTGAATTTGCATTCTAACAAGTTCCAAAGCACACCGATGCTATCTGGGAACCACACTTTGAGAAACAGTACCTCAGTGCATTAGCACTTAATTCTCCAGCAAAAACTGGAAAAATGCTTCGCTGATGTGCAGAACATGAGATCATATTCAATTTCTCTTCTAAAATATATTAGGAAAAATGATAGGTGATAACTCCAAGTGTTTAAAGATGAATAATTTCAGGAAATAAGGTAGATGTTGTATAACTCTATAACATTTAGGCTATAAAACACAGTATTTGAATAAAAAATTGGAGCATTAAAGGAGGGCACGTGATGTAATGAGCACTGGTTATGATATGCAACTGATGAATCACCGCATTCTACCCCTAAAACTAGTAATACACTATATGTTAATTGAATTTAAATAAAATAAAATTTTTAAAAATTTACGATAGTTTAACAATGATATGGTCACATACAGGTAAATTCCAATACCCCAAATTCATTATTTTAAGAAAACAGTACAAACCACGGCAGACTATTCATATCATTAAAATGGATTCTTATTTACATCATCTCATTTTAAAACTAACCAATCAAGATTCATTCAATTTATTATGTATGTGACCACCTTCTATCCAAGGTAAGAGGCATTTTTGTATTATAAATGTCAATATTCCTATTACCACTACCTTCATGTTCTTAAAAGTCCATCTATTCCAAACTCTTCACTGATCGTTTAACATCAGCCGAACAGTGAGTTAGTTTTAACTTATTTCATTGGGAAGTTTCTCATAAGAAAAATATCTAATAATCGGTAACTATTTAATCCATAAATTTGCAATGTCAGCAAAAGGTCCCAAAGAATTTTTAAAACATAAGAAAAAAAATTTCTGAACACAAACTATGTGAGACTTTAGAAGAAGTTAGCTTGTGAATTCAAATGATAAAGGTATCTATAGCTGTGCAATAAACTTACCACACAGGCCCTAAATGGTTAGAAAGACTACCCTTCCACCTGGATATGGGAAATTGGCTCTTGAAGTTTTCTCAGTGAACAGTTAAGTGTGGTTCAACTATGCTCAGACTATTTGCATAAACAACATTGCTCATGTTAGACACCTGCTTTTCTTCTGGGACTCTGAAGCTTTTGTACCTGCTGAGGCAGGGGTTGCCCATGTGACCAACCCCAATAAACACCTTGAACCCCAGACTCTAATGGGCTTCCCTGAAGAGAACCATCACCCACATGTTGCTAAATTTTCATTGCTGGTGGAGAGGGGAAAAGAGGATGCTTTGTGTGACCCCTCAGGGGAAGATAAGAACCTAAGCAAGAATACACATGAATTCTCCCAAACCCTGCATATGTTTCTCCTATGACTCAGCTGTGAATCCACTCTACTTCACTGTTAGCAATTTTAACTTGAGTCCAACTATACATGGAATCTTCCAGCAAATCTCCAAAAAGAGGAGTATTCTTATGGACCCCCAACATAGCCATTTTCAGAAATCAGGATTCTTACCTGCTGATATGCTTCATAGATCACATCAAATAGAAAAGCCTGTGGCATTTCACTTGCTCTGTGTCTGGCACGTTCTAGTGAATGGTCTAAGCAACCATCAGCAGATGGACTGATTACAGTGGACACAAGAGGTCGAATTGCTCCTGCTGCCTAAAGAACAAATAGAGATCCAGTTAACATTTATTTCACCTAGAACCTATTTCAAAGTTAAACCCTGACCTCTCGCATTTTGTGGAGATTTTATTCCTAGCTTTAACAAGTAACCTCAAGAAAATATTTGAACAAGTGCTGATTTGGTTCTTAAAGCAGTATTTCACTATCAAAAACCCTCTTTCTCAATATTACAGTTCCATGAAAGATTTTTTCCATTATAGGTTCACAAATTCTTTTGCTCACTGGCCATTGAAATCTAATACTAGATCACAATGCTAAGATCCAAGGGGTATTCCAAGAAGGTGGAAGGGGAAAGGAAGAGTTACTGTGGAAAAAATGGACACGGGACACATCAATATTTATTAGTGTGCCTTCAAAAGTTTTACTTTCAACACAGATAATTAAGGCAACAGATCTATTCCCAAAGATCCCCAAAATGAGACTGAGCCTAAGTAACAATGAATTTATGTCTCACTCTAATTCCTGTGAACAACCATTCCTTCCAAACCATCTTAGAACAACATTCCTTCAGGTAAAGTAGCCATTGATTTTAATTGCTCTGATAAAAGCTGTCGCCCCTATAGATGCATCTCAACATTATACAAAGGTACCTTCATACCTGACAATTTATCCCCTTTATCTTCAGTAGTGTGTCACTGTAGTCTTGAAAGTCATTACCAGACAACTCTTTTGGAGAAGTGCCTTTAAAATACAGTTCTCCTGTGGTCGGCCATTAACCAAACCTCCTCTATAAGTTCTTATCTTCCACGTAACAAACACATAGATATTACAGCCCAAACCGATGAGTCAGCCAATTTGATCTTGAGAAGAACAGTATCTGTGCAAGATAGATAGCATAAACTAGCTTATAAAATCCCAGAGACTGGCTGAAAATCAAAGCTAATATGTGAGCCAAGTAGACAGTTTATAAACTGTCACCATTTCCAGTGACTCAAGTAGAAGTTTGGAGCCTAGAAATAAAAGCAAAAATGAGGAGACCACCAGGGCTGATAGGGAGGGAGTGATGTCCAAGTAGGTGAAAGATAAAGAAGAAAACCCAATTGGTCAAGCCTGACACCTATCAATAAAAGACGACAAAAGAAACAGATTTGCATGCGTACATACACATACGAGCTTTTTAAGGGAAAAGTTCTATTTATATTGCAACTATGTATAGGTAATACTGGAATTCTATACCAGGCCATAAAGCAAATCCATCAAAAAGAGAATGAGTCACAAAGTGTCAGCATGAGGACTTTAGCAGACTTTCTCTCCAGCAAAAGAACTAGTGAAAAATATTTTACAACAACCATTTAAAATCCTTGAAGGGCATGCACGAGATGAAACATTTTTTAAGAGTATCAACTAAAATTTGGTAAAAACAGAGCCTGTGGTACTCAAGTCATGATCTATTTCTTCCTTAATCATCCACACAGCTCAGTGTGACTGAAGTTCCACTCAGAGTAGGTATGGCTGAAAAGATGGGGCTTTCCTCTCCCCCTATCTCCCAGTTCAAAGGACAGAGGGCAGCATTTCCCATCCTACTCAGCCCCAGGTCACAGAGGCTAAATTAAAGCCTACTGTGGACAAGAGATTGGAGACTCCCTTCCCACTACATAGCCTTCACTACCAAGTGGAATATCTACCCCAGGCAAAGTAAACACAGAATGTATACTGGGCCCTGAACACCCTTAACTCCCAATCTCACATAGGGCAGAGGTTTCACACCAAGAGAAGCATAACAAAAAGGTAAGAGTCTTCAAATATCTCCATGGACCACTCTGCTCATGAAGTAGGAGTGTCACTCAGAAAAACAAGATATCATGCCCCACTGAGTAGCAGTGTGGTGATTTTTTACAGGGAGAGAGACAGGCTGTAAGAATAGAACTATCAAGTTCTCCCAAAGGGAACTCCCCTTGTATGTAACTGACTGTGACCAAGTTTAAACCTAAGTGCACTTGCAAAAGAAATGGAGACTATCATGCTAAGCAATTAAGAGGAAGGTGGTAGCTAGCTACAAGACAGCATAAAGCCCAACTGTTGGTAAGCAAATTTACCAGAGATAACCACAGAGAGAGACAAGTAAGAACAGCCCCCCTGGAATCAGAGCAAACTTCTAATACTGACCTCAAAAACTACCCTTGCCATGGAGCCAAAGTTAAATTGAATCAGATTATAGAGCATTTTATAGCTCAGGCATTGTAAGAAAAAGAGAACGATAAAGAGCGAGAGCGAGCGAGCAAGAGAAAAAGAATGAAAAAGAAAGAGGGAGAGACAGAGAGACAGAGGCAGAAACAGAGAGAGAGAGAAAGAAAGAGAGACAGAAAGAGACAGAGAAAGAGAGAAAGCAAGCAAGCAAGCAATTGCAGGCAATGAATAGAGTTTATCAGTTGAGTGTGGTATCAGAGACAGTAAGAGATTAACAAAAAAAGGCAAAAGAAACCCTACTAAACTTTCATTCCAGGCTGGCTACATTCATGCCCAAGACTGCATCCTCTGTATAGTGACTTTAGAGACTTCACTGGGGAGGGGGAAACAAGACTTTACTGAAAAAGAGCAGCCAAGTCACATACAACAGTAACAGTAAGTTCTGAGGAAATGGGAGGGAGACTATCACCATCTAGAACTGATACTAAAGGTCTACCAACCAATGAATGGATAAAGACCATGTGCTACATATATCCACAAGGAAGTATTTTTCAGCCATAATGAAGTTGCTTCAACAAAGTATTTTCAACAATACGGATGGACTTCAAGGGCAATGTGCTAAGTGAAGCAAGTGAGAGAAAAACCAAATACCTTATGATCTCACCTATATATGTAAAGGCTAAAAGAGACAACACATTGGTGGCCAGAAGTGGGGGGACACAGGTGGGCAAAATGGATGAGAACAGTCAAAAGGTAAAACTTCCAGTGACAAATTAAGTCCTGGGGATGTAACGTACAGCATGGGCTATAATTAATACTCCACAGTATCAAGTTGCTTAGAGATATTAAAAATCCTAAGGAAAGGATTCTGTAACTGTGGTGACAGATGTTAACTTATTTAGGTGATCATTTCACAATGTAAACAAATGTTGAAACCTTGTGTTGTACAACTGAAACTTATGTTTATCAATTATACCTCAAAAAAATCTGTCAAAAAACTTACATGTGAGAATTTCAAAACTGGAAGGTGAACATACTAATAATGAAACCAAGAAGAAATTAGAGAAACAGAAGATACTGAGATGAAAAGATACAATATGAAACACAGCATGCAGCTGAAGCAGTTATAAGAGGGAAATTTATAGTTGTGCATGTCTATGTATAAAGACATTCTCAAGGCCAAAACCTTCTACCTTAAGACTTACACTCCTATCTTAAGATTTTTGGAAAAACAACAATAATAACAACAGAACACCCTCAAATTAAATTAAGTGTAAGTAGTAAATAGAGATTAGATGAAGTAGAGAGTATAAAAAGGGGGGGGGGGAAATCAATATCCAAAGTCAGTTCTTTGAAAGAATTAACAGGACTGACAAACCTTTAACTTGATGAACCAAGTGGGGGAGGAGATTCTAATTAGTGAAATCAGGAATCAAAGTGGTGTTTCTACCAACCTCCCAGAAATAAGGAATTTTCAGCAAATTACATGAAATTTCTGTTTCCTAGAAAGGCATTAACTCCAATAACTGATTCAGTAATAGACAATTTGAATAGACCTATAACAAGTATGAAAACGGAATTAGAAATTTTTATTTCGCACGAAGAAAATCCAGACAGCTTCACTGGTTATACAAAAAGGGAAGGAAGGAAGGAAGGAAGGGAGGGAGGGAGGGAGGGAGGGAGGAAGGAAGGAAGGAAGGAAGACAGAAAGACAGAAAGAAAAATCTTCAATACCAATTCCTCACATTATGCCAAGAAGTAATATAGGAGAGAATGCTTCCTAACCCACTCTTTAAGATGAGTACTGCCAAAACCAGACAAAGGCATCACAAAAAGGTACAACTACAGACCAAAACCCCTGATGAATACAGATGCATAAATCTTCAACAAAATACCAACAAACCAAATCTGGCAATAAGTGTTACATACCATAACCAAGTGGGATTTATACGATGAATGCAGAATTGATTCAACATACCCAAAAAATCATTGTCATTTCTCACCTTAAAGGGCAAAAAAATCCAAAAACACTCCAACAGATGCAGAAATAGCATCTGACAAAATGCAACGCTCCTTCATGAAAAAAGCATTCAACAAAATTAGGAACAGAACTTGCTCTAGCCAATAAAGGGCAACTTTGAAAAACCCACAGGTAACATCATATTTGATAAACACTATTTTCGCTTTAATATCAGGAACAAAAATATATCCACTGTCACCACTTCTATTAAACATTGTACTGGAAGTTCTAGTCAGGAAAATTAGGCAAGAAAAAACAGAAGGCATCCAAAAGGAATTAAACTATCTGTATTTGCAGATAATATTTTATAGAAAATCCTGATGAATTCCCTTTAAAAAACTAGGAATAAACATATTTGGCAAGAAGGCACAGGACAAGACCAACAAAAACAACCACAAAATCACTTCTATCTCTGTACTAGCAATGAACCATTCAAAAAGAAAAAATTCATTTACAATAGTGTCAGAAAGAAAACACTTAATGTGTAACAAAAAAGTTAAAAATTTATTCTGAGAACTATAAAAATTCCCAAGCTCCTATGCAAAAGCCAGTATCTCTATCTACTCACTGGCCCCCATTCCTTCTCAAGTCTTTCTCTACAGCAACAGTCCCCCTCCTATCCTGCCCCGTCAATTTTTATTCCTTTACTCAACTGTCTTCATTAGTGTCCAGGCATTCTGTGACATCTCAAGTCAAGTCATTCCTCCTTTGATCACACCTATCTTCCAACCAGGACCAAATTTCTCCTAGTCAGTTTCAGACAAAAGTCTGTTGAAGAACTATCTGTACTATTTAGTATCTCCAATGTCTGCCTCCTCCCATGTTCTTT